GTCTGTCTGTCTGTCTGTCTGTCTGTCTGCCTGTCTGTCTGTCTGCCTGTCTGCCTGTCTGCTTGTCTGTCTGCTTGTCTGTCTGTCTGCCTGTCTGTCTGCCTGTCTGCTTGTCTGTCTGCTTGTCTGTCTGTCTGCCTGTCTGTCTGTCTGTCGCTGCCCTCCTCGGACAGTGGCCACCAAGCGCCAGTTCCCGGGCCACGTCGTCACCGCCTCCCTTCGGCAGCCGGAGTACCTCTATGACCAGTACATTCACCGGACCGGCACGGCATTGGTCCACCTGCTTGAGGATGATGGCGGCTTCCTCTGGGAGCACAACCACGTCTTCTGCAGCAAGTGCGTTCTCTTGAGGACCCCTCCCCGTTCTCCTCCCCCGCCCCTGGCCATGGCCATGGGTGCCAATCTGCCACCCCTAACCTCCTCATATCCCCCCTCCGCCTCCGACGCGCGTTGCCCCGTGGCTCAGAATTTCGGGCTTCGACTACGACCATTTGTTCCACGAATTCCTGCTCTTCTGCATGGATGCCGAGCAGCTGGCCGCGTTCTGGTCCGCCTGCACGATGAAGGCTTGGCGCCGGCTGGCTCAGTCGCTGGAGGATGAGGCCAACTGTGCGGCTCTCAGGGCGCTCCTTCCACCGGCCGAGACCCTTCGACCGCCACGCACAGGTTCGCACTCCGGCACTTTCGCCTTTCTGCCTCCTCCTTTCTCTCTTCGCCAAACGCCTTTGTCCTTTGGCCCGGCCCTGACCACCCTCTCCCGCTTATACGCCGGCCCCAGGCTCCGGATCTAGCTACGCCTCGGTGGCCGCTCTGGCCGCCCAGCGCCAGTCCTCTCCGGATCTTTGCCCGCTGGCAGCTCCTTGCTCGCCTCCCTCGCCGACGCCCGCGCCCGCGCCCGCGCCCGCGCCCGAGCAGCCTCCACCGATCAGTGAGGATCGTCAAAATGGGGCTGAAGTAAACCCCCCCAATAGCCCGATCAGTGGGTCCTCCGCCCCCGCCACAGCCGCAGCGGGTGAGGCCGGCGGCGAGCCCGCCGAATTGGCCCTGCCGAATGTCCACCTGCCTGGTGCAGAGGACCCCCTCGGAGGGGCCCCCCTGCAGGCAGCCCCGGCAATCGAGCCGACTGTCCTGCCACCTGCCCCGACGTCCAGTCCGGATCTGGTGCCAGTGCAAGCCCCTGCCGATGAGCCGGATGCCAGTCCGAACGCCTCGCCAGTGTCGGAGCTCGCTTTTCCCGGGAGCCTCGTGTCCCCGCCGGAGCCCACGCCTGCCACTCCACGCGGCTCAGGTCCTACGCCCGACCCGCCAGCTGGCCGGCAGGCCGATTGAGAATGGCCCCCCCCCCGCTGTCTCTTCGCCCACAATAGATATTATACACCCACATGACTCGCATGTGTTCGTCGGCTCTGGCGGATGCCGCCGGAGGGCTTATCGCGCTCCGCAATGGGGCCTCACGGGCGAGGGGGGCGGAACTGCCAATGTATCTCCGTGTCCTGCTCTTGAGCCCCCGCCCTGGCCAGCGGCGATGCACCGCCGCCAAGTCCCCTCTCACATGCACTGCCCCCATGCCCCTCTCTCCCTCCCTCCCTCACCGAGCCCTGTCCCTCGCCCCTCCTTGCCCCTCCCCCCCCCCTCTCTCCCTTCCCCTCCTGACCAAACGCCTGGGCGCGTGCTGCTGGGCGCTTCCAGCCGCTGTTCCTCGGCTGTCGGCCGCTCGTCCTGGCAGGGCGACCCAGACCAATCATGGCGGCCGACGAAGCCGACATTGCTGCACACCGCCACCTACTCGAGCAGCTGATCCTCTCACTTGGCTCGCCGCAATCGGTCTTCTCTTCGTGCGTTGGACGCTTGCACCTTGGATCGCTGCCCGCTGCCCCCGGGTGTTGACAATGCCCTGACCCGTGCCACTCGTAGCTCTGCTGCCCCGCAGCCGGACACCTTGATCCGGGCAGAGGGACACTTTTGCCGGATCTTAAACCAAGAGATTGCCCGCGGCCGAGGCCTACTCCTCCGGCTGCAGGAGTATTTCCTTGTACGTCTGCCGGTGATCTTCCTCGACCGGCCCCCTCCAGCCCGTGCAACTGACCATCCTGCCGCAATGGTGCGCATCAGCCTGGCTCCGCCGGATGGAGCATCCCTCCTCTGCCCGGCGCCGGCGGTCTCTCTTCGGACTTGGATGCACCAATCGAGCCGAGTGCCGTTGTCCCGGCCACCCTGAAGCCCTTCCTCTCGGTGGCCGCCGCCGCCGCCGCCTCCGCCGCCGCCGAGAACTCGCCCCTCCATGCTTGGGTCCAGCGTCTGCATCAGCAGCAGCCACTCTCGCCGCTGTCCTGCTGGCTGCTGGGCTTTGACCGGCAACGCTGCCCCGACACGGAGGGCCTTGCCCCCCGGGAGGAAGGCCTTGAGGGCTTGACCTGTCGGCACTGCGGGGCGCTGGCGGTGGTTCCGTCAGTTCGCCCGGCGAGCGATACCCGCATGGCCGACATCTTGGCATCCACCCGGTGCCAGTTGCGCGTGCGCAGTCGACACGTCGATCGCCTGCGCCAAGTCCACCTTTCTACCTGCCCGAGCCGGGAGCACTCGGCCGACCTTCAGGGCGTGGGTATGTCTGCCCACTCGCTCCGCTCGGGCGGAGGCGGTTCCTTTCCCCCGCTGCTTCCCTCTCTCTGTCTCTCTGTCCTTCTCTTTTACCCCTCCGTGCCCTGTGCCCTTCGTCTGTCCCTTTCTCACACGCGCACCAAGAGGATCTCGTTTCGTTGCTTTTCTTCGTCAGCGCTCTGTTCTGGCGCGTGGCCGAGGGCAGGGCATGCCTCGCCTCCCCGACTCGGCGGCCGGCATCATCGGACTTTGGCTGGATCGCCACGCGCGGCCTGCCGGGGCTTCTGTCGTCGGCCGCCGACCGGCGCCCACCCATCTGTGACGACCCTCAGGCAACGCGCCTCTCGGATTACCTGGGGCTTCATATGTCCCGCCAGCCAAGCGCATGCCTTGGATCTGACGGCGATGACATGCCGCCGCCGGTGCATAGCCAGACGTTTCTGTGTGTCTTGTGCTGCCAGGTTCGCGGGAAGTGGCTCTTTTCCGGTCGGTCCATCCCCCCGGCTGCCAGATCGGCCGCTGGTGGGGAGGACCACACGAAGGGGACTTCGGAGCCGCAGCGTCTTTTTGATTCGCATCTCCGCCCGGCTTCGGGTGTGGAACGTGTCGGGCAATTGGCCATCCAAGCTCGCCTGGCCCGCATCGACGATGACCCTGCTGCGACGAAGCCAGCCCGGCCCGTGGATCATGGCCCCTGGCTGCCCTTCGGTTGGGCTGTGCCCGAACGCGATGCCACCTCCTCCCTGCCCGGCATTCTGCCCTTCGACACGGACAGCATCCTTTATGGCGGTAGCCGCAACACTGGAAAGGTCACCGCTGGCAAAGCCACCACTGTGGCCCTGCCGTCCAGGCGCCAGGTGCGTATGTGTGGCACTTTCTTGTGCACTTTCTTGCCCTGCCTCGTGATACTGACACGCACGCCGGCACGCGCGCGCGCGCGCGCGCGCGCGAATCACTCTTCCTTTCCTCCCGCTGGACAGCGGCAAAGTTTAACTCGCTACCGACAGGCAGCCCTCAGCCTCCGTGCGTTTGCATTGCGCTGTCCCAGCCGTGAATCCTTGGCCATACTGACCTCGCCTTGCTTTCAGCCGATTTCGACCCGGTGTTCAGCCATGCCCCCGGGTGCCCGCTGAGACTTCCGGCCCTACACACGTTTGCGGCTTTGTCTGCCGATGTGGTTGTCGATGCTCGGATTGATCGGTCCGCCCTGCCCCTCGGCGAGGGTGGCTTGCTTCTCCGGGATCTGACTTTCCAGCCAGCTGAAGCCACGGGGGAACTCCCAGCCAATGAGGTACGTGGTTGACCGATCAATGGCGAAGAAAGGGGAAGCCTGCGAGACCCTTGCCAGCTGCGGATGCATGCTTTGCCGGCCACTGACCTTTTTTTTTTTTTTTTTTTTTCTTGGCCCGCCACCCGAAGCTCCTGACCCTGGTGTCGGAAATGCAAACCGCCCGCACGGGTGGCGGGGTGTGACTGGCTCTCGGTCGAAAGGGGGAAACCCGAAGAATGGACAGCCCTCTGTTGCTGCGTTTTGTGCGAGGATTTTTCTATTGTACACACGGGCGCGCTTTCGCGCCCGAGGAGAGGGGACGGCGCGCGATGAGCAGGAGGAGAAGCAACGGGGGGAGGGGAAGATCAGCGGCACAATCATCTTGGCAGCCATGTCCCGAGGGCTCCCCCGAGGAGGAGTAGGGAGAAAGGAAACAAGGTCAAGGGGGCACTCCGCTGCACGAATTGGCACAGACAAAGGGCCAAGGTGGACAGGAGAGGAAAGGTACATGCGGAGGAAGGGGAGGAGCGAAGGAGGGGGAGAGGGAGGGGGCGGAGGGGCAGCAGGACGGGATGGCACGGTCCATCGGACGGGGGAGGAAGCCTCAGGAGGACGGAGACTGCGGGGTGGTGAGCACCGGCGGTGGCTGGGGGACCGTGTACGAGTTGTCATTCAGAGCGTAGATCGAAATGTTCCCGGAGGAGGTCTTATCCTGGGCCGAGGTGCCGATATACCGGATGAGCAAGGCTTGCGGTCCCCTCCGGCAGATGGGGGCAATCTTGTTCTTCTCATTGGTGTTGTTGAATGTCAAGATGCTAAGGCCCTTTTCCAAGTAGAAGAGGGTCACCGTGCAGTCGCGGTTGATCACCAGGAAGGCGTCAAGGGCAACCTTGACTGGAGACACACAAGGAAAGGGGTGTGAATCGAGGCAAAGGAGGGGGCGGGGGGGGGGGGGGGGGGGGAGTGAGTGGGTGATGGCGTCCTTGGGAGGACAAACAAAGGGACGGCAGGGGAACATACTCGCATCGACGATCGGGTTTTGGAAGATGATCGGCGGGTGGTCCAAGGGGATGCCATGATGATCCACGCGGATGGCAAAGGTCTCAAAGCAAAGCAGAGCACAATCCTCGAAGCCCAGAGCCGCGATGGCCTGAGGAGCGGGGATTGGAACTGGGGCCGCCAGTGTTTGCTCCGGTGGGGGGAAGGAGATGAGTCGGTGGGCCTCTTTGTCACTCTGGCGGTGGGGAAGTGAGACCATGCGGCAGGGGGGCCATATCGAGGGGATACATGCGCATTAGACGTGACAGGTGACAGAGGGGCGAGGGAAAAGGCTGGGAGAAGGCCGAAATGCATGGCCGCGCACCTGCCCCAGGATGAATTGATCCCGATGCGGACTGAAGACAATCGGCTCGCCGCGCTGGGTGGCGCTGTCCAACAGAAGGGCAATCCGGTCGCGCCGGTCTCCGGACACAATGTTCGAAGGGTGCCCCTGGGAGGAGATCTTCTTGTACTCCGGCCCGAAGGAGCTAATGGTCTTCTCGAGCATGAAGCGACTGTATGGGGCCGGAGCCCACCGGCAGATGGTGATGGTGCGTCCACGCCGGGCGATCAGGAAAATCTGGCTTCCCTGGCGCTCTACGAAAGGAGAAGAAACGAAGGAACGAAGAGAAAGAAAAGGGACAGGAGCGGGGAGCCAATGACACGTATGTTAGTTTGGGAAAAGGCGAAAAATGCCCCGGAGGCGGTGTCGTGGTGAGAGGGAGAGATTGAGAGATTGAGAGAGATTGAGAGAGAGAGAGAGAGAGAGATTGAGAGAGAGAGAGAGAGAGAGATTGAGAGAGAGAGAGAGAGATTGAGAGAGAGAGAGAGAGAGAGAGAGAGGTTGAGAGATTGAGAGATTGAGAGAGAGAGAGAGAGAGAGAGAGAGAGAGAGAGAGAGAGAGAGAGAGAGAGAGAGCCCGACAAACGCACCGATGGCGATGTGGTCCACACCGCGCCAGCCGAGGAACTTGGTCACGCGAGTGTGGGCCTCAAAGCCGGACTTGTTGCCGATCTGAGAGGGGAAGGAGTGGATGTTGTCCGGCGTCAAATCGGCCAGATCGTAGATGCAAACGCTGCGCGACTTGCCCGACAGGGAGATCATGATTTGTAGGTCATTGAGGACAAACAGCTGCCGATAGGGGCGCTCGCTCAGGAAGGTGGTGCGCTTCTCCCGGGTGGCCGAGAAGTCCAGACACACAAGCCCCACATCCGATCCGAGGAAGAGGATCTTCTGCGATTCCCACACATCGCCGCACAGGAAAATGTCCTTGCGCAGGGTGCAAATACGCTCCATCACATATCGCGTTGAGCACTCGGCCAGGTTGAGCGGCGGCCGCACGCTGCTCCGCGTTGACACGGACCTCTGTGGCCCGGCGCGCAGAGGCTTGGTGGCAACGCCGCGCTCCAGGAGGTCGAAGATGGCCGAGTTCAGGTCGAAGTTCTATGCCACAAAGGGGCGGAAGAGCAACGAGGGTCAGGAAAGCGCAACCGGGGACACCGGAGAGAGACCGGGAAAAGAAGGCCCCAGAGAGGTGAGGGAACCGGCGAATGGAACGCACATTCCGACGAAGGGCCTCGACACTGTCCTCGCTGGAGAAGCCGGCATTGCGCATGGAAGCGATGAGCCGGGTCATGTCCTCCGAGGACTGGGGAGTGCGAGGGGGGAGAGAGAGAGAGAGAGGGAGGGAGGGAGAAAGAGAAAGAAGGCCAGAGGGGGCGGACAGGCAGCCGGGACAAGGGGCAGCCGTGTTAGACAAGGGCCAAGGGCCAAGGGCCAAGGGCCAGGCAAAGGGTGGGTAGAGCTCGAAGCAGACACCGGCAGGGTGGGCGGCAGAGGGGAAGGAGGAGTCATACCGGCGGCTCGCGCTTGCTCCCGCGCGAGGCTGCATCTCCGGCGCCCCCGTTGTCATCACCATCCGTGGCACTGGGCAGGGCGGTGGACACCGGGCGTGTGCGCAGGGTCTTGGCGACATCCTTGCGCACATGTCCCGGGCTGGCGGCGGCGGCCGAGTCCGTGGCCGTGGTGCGCTTCTTGCCGCTGGCCAGGAAGTGCTCGTTGACCATGGCTCGCATGAGAGGTCGCTCTTCGTCAAGCCCGGTGAGGAAGGGGTGACGGAGAAGCTCAGCCGCCGACTGGCGCTTCTTCGGGTTCTTATTGACAGTAGCCTGGATGAAGCTGTTGAAGTCGGAGGACCTGCGCAAGAGGAGAGGGCGGGAGGGCGGGAGGGTATGTGTGAGGCGGGGGGGGGGGGGGGGGGGGGGGGGGCGGCAGAGAGGGGCGAAGGAGGAGTCGAAACAGAAGCCGAGCATCATACCACTTGGACGCCTCGGTCAAGGTGGGAGCCTTGTTCTTGGGGATGAGGAAGAGAGCGCGCATCGGGTGCAAATCGAACAGGGGCGGCCCGCATTGGGACAACTCGATGGCCGTGACACCAATGGACCAGATGTCGGCCTTCTCATCATATGGCGAGGTATTCTCGTCGGCTTGGATCACCTCGGGTGCCATCCAGTATGGGGAGCCGATGACGGACTGCCGCTTGGACAGGGTGTTTGTGAGCTTGGCACTGACGCCGAAATCAGCTATGGGAGGGTGAGAGGATGGGGGATGGGGGGGGGGGGGACAGCACAATGGCAGTGTGAGGAGAGCCACAACCGGAGTCAGTTGGGATAAAGCTGGATTGATGGGAGCCGAGAGAGAGAGAGAGAGAGAGGCAGTAACATGGCCACGGACCAAGCTTAACCACGCCGCTGTCGGTAATCAGAAGGTTGCCACCCTTCAAGTCGCGGTGCATCTTGCCAAGCGAGTGGAGGTACTCAAGACCCTAAATGAAGGAGAGAGTCAGTTGAGGATGCTGGCAGGTGATGGAGAGAGAGAGAGGAGCATCGAGGCAGGGAAAGAGAGGGGGGGGGCGAGAAGAGACGCACGGAGATGGCGTCGTGCATGATATGGCGAATCTGCGGCTCGGTGAAGGGCTTTTTGGAGGCACGGTAGATGGCCTCCAGCGAGCCGCCCGCGCAGAACTCCATGATGATCTGAAAGGACACCCAGCGAGGGGCAGGCCAAAAGAGCAGGTTAATGCCGGGGGGGGGGGCGGGGGGCGGGGGGACTCCAGCCAGCATGCAAGGGGCCTCGAAATGGGATGGCCGGGTGCGCACCCAGAGCTGATCGGTCGGAGCGCTCGGGTTGAAGAGGAAGCTGCCGAGGTAGCGGACAATGTTGTTGTGGGTGCACTGACACATGATGTTGACCTCATGCAAAACCGGGCGGATATCCTCGCCCGGTTCTAGGTCCACGATTTTGATGGCGGCCAGCGAGTTGTTGGCCAGCACGCGCGCCTTGCGAACATGACCGAAGGACCCCTTTCCTACACGCTCGAGCAGCTTGAAATAGGGGGTGGGGTCGCGGTTGAAGAGATCTGCCGGGGAGGGAAAGGGCAGGGCAGGGGGATGTGGACCAGCAAGCAGGAGGTTAAGATTGACAAGCCAGAGGCGGGCAGGAGAAAGGCGCGCATGTGTATGCGAGGGGGAGAGAGAGAGGGGGGGGG